CTTTCCTCAGCCTAAAGAGAAGAAGACTCCCATTCCATTTTTTGTTCTAAGGCTGAATATTACCCAAGGAAGGTACGTAAAGCCCTACCCAGAAAGAGTTCTCAGGTTCACTGAGCATGAGCTGGAGGCACCACATCTCTGTGTGATATAGGGTAAGTCTCTTTCCCTCCCTTAGGCTCAGTTTCTGACTGTAGAAAGGAGAGGGCTGGACAGAATGTGTCTTAAAGTTCTTTCCAGCATTCACTTTCTGGGATTCCATGCAGGGCAACTTGGGGGTCCAAAGCGAGTGGCGGGAAGGAGACCTTGTGATGGAGCTTTGAGTTCATAGCAGTGGATCTTCCAGGCTGTCTCTCACTTACTGTTTTGTCTCCGTCAGATTTGCCTCATTGGGGCTTCACGTTAGAGGATAAAATTCTACCTAGTTACTATTTAGATGCTAATTTTCCTACCTAGGCTTTTACATGTAATCCATGATCCCAGGGTGAGAGATTTATTTGGGAAATGCTGGGAGAAAGAGGAGGTGATTTGTTATCAACTGTCTTTCTCTTAGGGAAGGTGGAAAGAGAAAGCAGAAAGAAATGTAAATAAATGCCAGGAAATCTGAGCTAAGAAAAGCTACTATTTATTGAAAGCTTTCTATTTGCTGGGGAGCGCTGTGAAGTGATTTGTATATTTTATCTCACATCTAATTCTTCCAACAACTATGTAAATAGAAATTGCTACTCTATTAAAAAAACCTGTTAATAAGAACACATGACAGGTGGGCAGTAGAGCTAAAAGTTGGCTCACAATTTCTACACTCACCCTCTTAACCACTGCTTTAGACCAATTCCTGCGAAGAGAGAAAGGCAGCTTAGCCAGCGGTTCTTGCTTTTTTTTCCTCTGTACTTTAAAGGATCCAGAACCTCGAACTGTCTCCTTCACTAAAAGAAAGGTCACTTGCCCTTTTGGATTCATCACCTCTGTCCTCTCACTATGACTTCATTAAGTCATCTGACATAATTATGTTAAATTCCCCTAATTGACTTTTTCTCTTTTTGAGATGGACTCTTGCTCTGTCACCGCAGCGGCGTGATCTGGGCTCACTGCAACCTCCACCTCCCAGGTTCAAGCGATTCTCCTGCCTCAGCCTCCCAAGTAGCTGGGACTACAGGCGTGTGCCACCACGCCCTGCTATTTTTTTTGTATTTTTAGTAGAGACAGGGTTTCACTGTGTTAGCCACGTTAGAAGTATAACAATCATAATAGATTACATTCTTTGAGGGCTTGCTATGAGATGAGTACTCTGTGCCTTCTTGCATTTAGCAGAAGGATGACTTAAACTGATTTCTAGAGTTGAGAGCAGAGATAAATGAATCAGTGTTGAAGGAACCAGAGAAAGCTTCGTAGACAACAGACATTGTAGAGTAGGTGGCACTTAGAGAGGGAGGCAAAAAGAGGTGACACATTGGGTAATGTGAAAAGTAGAAAAGAGGCACCTGGGGTGGGGATCAGCTTGTGTTTATAAGAAGGCGAGGAGACCTCTGAATAGAACTGAGATTGTGTGAAGTTTAGTGCCCAGTAAAGAGGGTTTGGAGGGGGCTGTGGAAGTCCTGCAGAGGTTTCTAAAAGTCAGGTGGAAGAATTTAGGATGGATTGCCAGCCAACAGGGAGATAATGGCAATTTCTGAGTGACTTGGAACCAAGGGAAGATGAAGAATTTCTAACTTGAGTATGCAGAATAGACTGGGGATGAGGACTGGGGAGGTCTGGGGACAGAGGGAGCATGTAAGAGTTTGCGGTCGTTATCCTTGCATGAGTTTATGTCCTGCTTGAAGATGGCAGCTGCAGGAAGACAGAGGAGGAAACCGGTGAAATCAACAGGACGTAAAGATTGTGTAAATATGGCGGGTGGAGGAGGCATGAATTAGATGTGACTCCACGGTTTCAAGCCCGTGGGAGGGGCAAGTGATGGTGCTGCTAGAAGGCCCAGTGTGAGAGGAGTTCCTCCAGCTCACCTGTGCTGGGAGAGAACGACAGATTCCACAGCTCTGTCTCGCCAGCCGCAGTGCTACCTCCCATCCAAATCCCTGCCCTGGGGTAAAGTAGGAGAGGGCAGTCCCTGAGTCTCACACTCTGCTGCGGATTCCACATGGTTTCTTGATCTTGGATGATCCAGAAATGGTGGAAATGGAACATTCCCCAAAACATGGAGTTTGCTGTGATGCTCCTGCTATTCACAGGGAGGGATTAGTAAATGAATTTGGCCAAGTTTTGTATTGACCCTGGGTCTTGATGCCATTTCTCCAGGGTGCTGGGGTGGCTAACCCCTTTCTCCTCTAGCTGTGGTGTAGTGGCTCTCCCCTACCCTTATTTAGATAGGCTCAGTTTCAGCCATGGCTCAAACACTCACAAGCTGTTTCTTTGGGCAAGTTACTAAACTTCTCTGAGCCTCATTTCTCTCATCTATCAATTAGCTACCTCAAAGAGGTGCAGGAAGAATTAAATGAGAGGATGGGCCAGGTGCGGTGGCTCGCGCCTGTAATCCCAGCACTTTGGGAGGCTGAGGCTGGTGGATTATGAGGTTAGGAGTTCAAGACCAGTCTGAGCAATATGCTGAAACCCCATCTCTACTAAAAATACAAAAAAAAAAAAAATTAGCTGGGTGTGGTGGTGTGTGCTTGTCGTCCCAGCTGCTTTAATGGGCAGACTAAGGCAGGAGAATCACTTGAACCCAGGAGGTGGAGGTTGCAGTGAGCCAATATTGTGTCACTACACTCCAGCCTGGGTGACAAAATGAGACTCAGTCTTAAAAAAAAAAGAGAGGATGGCTGTAAGTTGCTTTCCACAGTCTAGCACACAGACTCTGAATAAACAGCAGCAACATCTGGAGTTGTTGTGATTGTTAGGATGACATTGACAATGAAGAAGGTGAACATCAGGTAACTACGATACTCACCATCTTCATCATCATCCTAACAACCATGCATGATGGCAAACATCAGGTAACAAGGGGCTCTACTTCCTCCAGGCCACCAGATGTGACTCCATGGTTTCAAGCCTGCGGGAGGGGCAAGTGATGGTGCTGCTAGAAGGCCCAGTGTGAGAGGAGTTCCTTCAGCTCACCTGTGCTGGGAGAGAACGACAGATTCCACAGCTCTGTCTCACCAGCCGCAGTGCTACCTCCCATCCAAATCCCTGCCCTGGGGTAAAGTAGGAGAGGGCAGTCCCTGAGTCTCACACTCTGCTGCGGATTCCACATGGTTTCTTGATCTTGGATGATCCAGAAATAGTGGAAATGGAACACCCCCAATAACGTGGAGTTTCCTGTGATGCGCTTCCTTCGCAGCCTTCGTGGGCTGTTTTTGATGCCTCTCTTATTTCCATTCCTCTGCACCAGTAAGAGGGCCCCATCTTGCTTTCTCTTTCCCATTCAGTTGTTTTCTCAGGTACCTTTTTTTTTTTTTTTTTTTAATACCTATTAATACTCTACTTCACCTCGAGTTTTAGCCAACCGCCTTACTGAGCATCTCTCAGCAGAGTTTTACCTTGTGTTTTTCTCCAAATTTTCTCTATGAGAGAAATTGGGGAGGAGAAGGTATTGAATCTATTTTCAAATGGAAGCACAAGTGGAAGAAGGACAAGTAAGTTGAATAAGAGATACTTCAAAATAATTTTATTTTATTTAATTTTTTTTGAGATGGAGTTTTTCCCTTCTCGCCCAGGCTGGAGTGCAGTGGTGAGATCTTGGCTCACTGCTACCTCTGCCTCCCGGGTTCAAGCGATTCTCCTGCGTCAGCCTCCTGAGTAGCTGGGATTACAGGCACTCGCCACCACACCCGGCTAATTTTTGTGTTGTTAGTAGAGATGGAGTTTCACCATGTTGGCCGGGTTGGTCTCAAACTCCTGACCTCAGTTGATCCACCTTGGCCTCCCAAAGTGCTGGGATTACAGGCGTGAGCCACTGTGCCTGGCCCAAGATACTGCAAAATAATTTTAAAAGCAGAGAAAATTTTGAAGGTTTTCTCTCCTTCATTTCACAATTGTGCCGTTTAATTATATGAAGTTACAAGCCTCCTTGTGACTGGATGTCAAGAAAAAAAAAACCAAAAAGCCTCTTGAGGACAGAGCCACGTTTCACTCTCCTTTCCTATGTCCTGAGTTGCCTAGGCACGTGGTAGCTGCTTAGCAAAACCTTTGGTTCAGAGAGTTGTATTAAAAGAAATCCTGCACCTTCTGCTGGCAAAAATGTTTGCTTATGGCAAGCAAACTGGAAGACAGAAACAAGGAAAGTGGTGATGTCCCTATGTTATATTCAAACTATTGTTCCATAGTGGGCTACACTCCAAATAACTTCCGGATGTACACTTAGCTCTCAGCTGTCAACATTTTCTCAAAAGGGTTGTAAAAATTCACAAAGCTATAGGACTGGGCAAAAACCATAGGATCTGAAAGAATTCAGAAACTTAGGTAGTTCACGTAAGGAAAATATCAAAGGAATTCTTTAAAATGGAGACGTTTCAATTAGATTGGCATTTCTGGGGAATAAATAAATAGAAGAAACAAAAGAGTCAGGAGTAGAAGGTCCCTATAAAATCTCTAACACAAAGGCGTGACCAGAGAACTTGGAGAATAAGGTAAATGTTAGTAATTAATATAAATGGTTTTCATGCTAAAAGTGGTGATTTTTTTTTTATTAGGGTATACTGGAAGTAATACATGAGTTGGAATTACATGACCTGAGAGGCTTGGCTAATTTACAACCTCTCTGTTTTTTTGATTGTTGTATGGGGATCATGGAGTTTTTGTGGGGTTGCTACACCAGTGTCTTGCATGGGGTAGGCTATTGAGCACCAAATGAATGAACATTGACTATATAAATAAATAAACAAGTCAGAAAATATGTATGAAAGGGTTTTATTAACAGGCAAGTGCTAAATAAATGTGAGGGATTAGTGTTATGATTGCATGTGCTTTGTCACAGGCTCTTCTCTGAGATCTGTATTCTCCAAGTGGAATCCATGGCCAGTACACGTAACGTGACTGAGTTGATTTTCACTGGCCTTTTCCAGGATCCAGCGGTGCAGAGAGTGTGCTTTGTGGTGTTCCTCCTCGTATACTTGGCCATGGTGGTGGGCAATGGCCTCATCATTCTGACAGTCAACATCAGTAAGAGTCTGCATTCCCCCATGTACTTCTTCCTTAGCTACCTGTCCTTGGTGGAGATCAGTTACTCCTCTACTGTCGCCCCTAAATTCATCACAGACTTACTTGCCAAGATTAAAACATCTCCCTGGAAGGCTGTCTGGCTCAGATATTCTTCTTCCACTTCTTTGGGGTTGCTGAGATCCTTTTGCTTGTGGTGATGGCCTATGATCGCTATGTGGCCATCTGCAAGCCTCTTCATTATATGAACATTATGAGTCGTCAACTGTGTCACCTTCTGGTGGCTGGTTCCTGGCTGGGGGGCTTTTGTCATTCCATAATTCAGATTCTTGTCATCATCCAACTGCCCTTCTGTGGTCCCAACGTGATTGATCATTATTTCTGTGACCTCCAGCCTTTATTCAAGCTTGTCTGCACTGACACCTTCATGGAGGGGGTTATTGTGTTGGCCAACAGTGGATTAGTCTCTGTCTTCTCCTTCCTCATCTTGGTGTCTTCTTACATTGTCATCCTGGCCAACTTGAGGAACCATTCTGCAGAGGGGAGGCACAAAGCCCTCTCCACCTGTGCTTCTCACATCACAGTGGTCATCTTATTTTTTGGACCTGCCATCTTCCTCTACACACGACCATCTTGCACTTTCACTGAAGATAAACTTGTGGCTGTATTCTACACGGTCATCACCCCCATGCTGAACCCCATCATTTACACACTCAGGAATGTGGAGGTGAAAACCACTATATGGAGATTGTGGTGCAAAAAGGAGAACCCAGGGAGGGAGTGAAAAAAGAGCTTAGGGATGAAAAACTGATACAAAATGTGTGTCTGATTACTCTCTGTTCTTGAAATGGATTTTGATTTTAGTGGGACATTCAAGAATGGCAGAAACAAATATAAAGGTTTAATGGCACTGCTGCTGTGATTCTCCTTAGTAACCAAAGACACTTGGTATCCTGGTGTAACGTTCAAAGCACAAAGGTCAGATAATCTGCTGAATCTTAGAGAAATTGATTGGCTTCATGATATCCAACAATACTGTGGGCTTGGGGAATATGAAGCCTCAAACCAAGGGCAAATGCAAAGAAGAATATGTTGACAAATGTTTTGTAGATTAAATCACCTTTTCCTTTTACCTCCTCCCTTCCTCACCCCTTTCCTTTCTCCCTTTTGCCCTTCCTCCTTCCTCATTCCCTTCCTTCTTTTCTTCCTTCATTCTTTCTCCCCTCTTTGTTCAAACTCTCTCATGATAACAGACTTATTTCATTAAAAAAGGAAACCAACTGGAGGAATTATCAGGCAACATTTAGGAAGGAGGGTACCAATGTGATCTACAATGTGGACAAGTATGTCTTGGAAAATTATATCCAGGGACTTTTTTCTATTCTTCTGGTTGGCTCTTGGTATCTTGTGCCATAGGCCATCTGGTCATGAGCCCCAGAAAAGTAGCAATTTTAGTTCTTTTGACATATTTTCACAAGGGATAGTCCTTAAATCTCTCTGGTCTTTCTCACAACGTCCAACATTCATAAACAAAATAATATCAAAATGACATAGATTCTACCTATCAATGTGGAGCGATCAAGTCAAACATTTTCACAAAAACATCGTTAGTCTTATCCAGATGTGACAAATACATAATGTTAGAAAATGCTTCTTAGGCCTAACTTAAAGAATGAAGGGGAAGGAGATACTGTCCAAATATGCTTCTACTCCAGACCTCTGTCCCTGATTCTAAGTGATCATGCAAGGCCACTTCTTTTAATGCCTATTAGTATTTCTTGGTGAAGGGAAATGAGATAATGTGTGTCTGCACTTTTGGTTAACTTCCCTGCGTCTCTACCTTACCCCATTGTTTCATATAATTGTACATAATTTATAGAATATTATAAAGTTGGCCCCTGTTGGCTTCGAAATTGCACATATTGGCATTGCATTTGCATGGTGTCCTCTACTTTTTCTTGAGAATCAGGTGAAATAATTTAGGCAGCTTCCCTAGCATAGGGATGGAGTATCATGGGTGTGCTATAGATCTTAGGGCCCTTTTCCTCTCTATTGTAGGTGCTGGTTGAACACGTAGGTAAATAGTGGTTTTAAAGGTACCAGCAAACTTTGCTCCCTTCCCTTAGTGTTCCCATTAACTTTATCCGTAGACGACCACATGAATCCCTGAGAAAATGCTGCTGCTTCTGCTTGGAATGACTTTACCTTCCTTTTTGGTATGACAAAATCCTACACATTCTTCAAGACCTAGGTTCAAGTCACCTTCCTTATAAGGTCTTCTCTGACTTCCCTCTTCTTTGGGTTGAATTTGTGTCTCCTTTTCACACTCATTTTTACCTATTCATATAATTGCCCTATCACTTCAATTCTAATTATTTGATGTGTTTCTCTCTCAATAGATTTTCAGTTCTCAAGGGCAGGACTCTCTATGGTCCTTCTTTGCAGCTCTACATATCATGCACATAGTTGATACTTGATACTTCTTTTTTTTTTTTTTTTTTTAAAGACGGGGTTTCACGATATTGGTCAGGCTGGTCTTGAACTCCTGACCTCAGGTGATCCGCCCACCTCAGCCTCCCAAGGGCTGGGATTACAGGTGTGAGCCACTGCACCCAGCTCATAGTTGATACTTCATAGGTGCATGAGGAATAAACAACGCTTTAGGCTCATGCACAGTTCTTGCTATAGCAATTCTTATAGATTCCTTTTGAACACTTTCATGGTGAGGAGCACATCTCCAGAATAATCTCTTTTTTTTCTTTCTTTTCTTTTTTTTTTTTTTTCTTTTTGAGATGGAATCTCACTCTGTCACCCAGACTGGAGTGCAGTGGCACTGTCTTGGCTCACTGCAAACTCCGCCTCCCGGGATCAAGCGATTTGACCTTCCCTCTTTGTTCAAACTCAGGCTGAGGCTCTGACATTTGTTTGGTTGTTCCAATTACCTGTGAGCCACAACCCAAGATCCAAAGTACTTAACTTCCCTGAACAACTGTTTTGCATAAATATAATGGCTAACAATAATAGGAGCTTTATAAGATTATTCTGGTTGGGCGTGGTGGCTCACACCTGTAATCCCAGCACTTTGCGAACCCGAGGTGGGCAGATCAATTGAGTTTGAGACCAGCCTGGCCAACATGGAGAAGCCCCATCTCTCCTAAAATCTCAAAAATTAGCTGGGCATGGTGGCGCGTACCTGTAATCCCAGCTACTCAGGATGCTGAGGCAGGAGAATCGCTTGAACCCGGGAGGCGGAGGTTGCAGTGAGCTGAGATCCAGCCACTGCTCTCCTGGGTGACAGAGCGAGACTCTGTCTCAAAAAAAAAAAAAAAAAAAAAGGCCGGGCGCGGTGGCTCAAGCCTGTAATCCCAAGCACTTTGGGAGGCCGAGGCGGGTGGATCACGAGGTCAAGAGATCGAGACCATCCTGGTCAACACGGTGAAACCCCGTCTCTACTAAAAATACAAAAAATTAGCTGGGCATGGTGACGCGTGCCTGTAATCCCAGCTACTCAGGAGGCTGAGGCAGGAGAATT